ATTTGGTCTGCCAATCTACACTGAACAAAAATATAAAAACGCAACATATAAAAGGGTTGGTCCCATGTTTCATAAGCTGACGACGAGCACGCAGATGAGCTTCCCTGAGATGGTTTCTGACAGTTTGTTCAGAAATTCTATCGGTTGTGCAAACCCAGTTTCATCAGCTGTCTGGCTGGCTGGTCTCAGATGATCCCGCAGGTGAAGAAGCCGGATGTGGAGGTCCTGAGCTGGCGTGGTTACATGTGGTCTGCGGTTGTGAGGCGGGTTGGAGGTACTGCCAAATTCTCTAAAACGACGTTGATAGAGAAATTAACATTAAATTATCTGGCAACAGCTCTGGTGGACATTCCTGCAGTCAGCGTGCCAATTGCACACTCCCTAAAAAAACTTGAGACACCTGCGGCATTGTGTTGTTTGACAAAACATTTTAGAGTAGCCTTTTATTGTCCCCAGCACAAGTTGCACCTGTGTAATGATCATGCTGTTCAATCAGCTTCTTGATATGCCACACCTATCAGGTGGATGGATTATCTTGGCAAAGGAGAAATGCTCACTAACACATTTGTGCACAACATTTGAGAGAAATAAGCTTTTTGTGAATATGGAACATTTCTGGAATCTTTTATTTTAGCACATGGAACCAACATTTTACATGTTGCGTTTATATTTTTGTTCAGTGTAGTTGACTTTGGTAAGGTTCTATGTCATCTCTGCATGTCTGGCAGACATATCAGTGTGGATGTCGGATCACCACCTCAAGCTGAACCTCGGCAAGACGGAGCTGCTCTTCCTCCCGGGGAAGGACTGCCCGCTCCATGATCTCGCCATCATGGTTGACAACTCCATTGTGACCTCCTCCCAGAGTGCAAAGAACCTTGGCGTGACCCTGGACAACACCCTGTCGTTCTCTGCAAACATCAAAGCGGTGACCCGATCCTGCAGGTTCATGCTCTACAACATTTGCAGAGTACGACCCTGCCTTACACAGGAAGCGGCACAGGTCCTAATCCAGGCACTTGTCATCTCCTGTCTGGATTACTGCAACTCGCTGTTGGCTGGGCTCCCTGCCTGTGCCATTAAACCCCTACAACTTATCCAGAACGCTGCAGCCCGTCTGGTGTTCAACCTTCCCAAGTTCTCTCACGTCACCCCGCTCCTCGGCACACTCAACTGGCTTCCAGTTGAGGCTCGCATCTACTACAAGACCATGGTGCTTGCCTACGGAGCTGTGAGGGGAACGGCACCTCCTTACCTTCAGGCTCTGATCAGACCCTACACCCAAACGAGGGCACTACGTTCATCCACTTCTGGCCTGCTAGCCCCCCTACCTCTACGGAAGCACAGTTCCCGCTCAGCCCAGTCAAAGCTATTCGCTGCTCTGGCACCCCAATGGTGGAACAAGCTCCCCCACGACGCCAGGACAGCGGAGTCACTGACCACCTTCCGGAGACACTTGAAACCCCACCTATTTAAGGAATACCTGGAATAGTATAATAGTAATCCTTCTACCCCCCTTTACTACCACTGTCTTTTGTCTAAACTAACACCTGACTTATTTCACCTGCTAGCACTGACTTGTTTAAAGAAATGTACTTATTGTGATCGAGATGTAGTTGTCCCTGATTGCACCGACTTCGCTCACAGCTGCTTGTTTGAAGAAGTGTACTTACTGTGATCAAGATGTGGTTGTCCCACTGGCTATCCTAAGTTGAATGCACCAATTTGAAAGTCGCTCTGGATAAGAGTGTCTGCTAAAATGACTTAAATGTTAAAAATCTCTGCCTCTTTTGCGAAGCAAAGATGTTTAGGGACCGGGGAGAAAATGCAATAACAAAACAAAAAATACGGAAAGATTTTCTGTGAAATTTCCAAATGACATTAGTTTCACCGGTTGTAGGGAAATAGAAATCTGTTAGAACGACCCAACATGTTTCTGATAAGATTTCAGTTCAGCTTGGATGCATATTTTATGTGGTTGAAATACTATCAGTTTTTATGAAGCTGATTAAGATAGCACCTCTACAGACGGTATCTAACTGCACATTCACATTCTTTCAAGATGCTGAAATAAATAAATCATATTTCTCCACTACTGTTTCCAAGTCAACATTTTGCCTACATTTGGTGTATAATTTTACTGCAAGAAATGCTTAATGTGAGAGGTTATAGACCTACAGTCAAGTGTGCAGATTTATGTTTCCATTTAACCCATCTGAACAGAAGGCTACAGTTCCCTTGATGTGCAAAAGGCCTGTTTGAAGTCCCCGTCTTGTGACTGTCTAATTTGTATAGCGCCTCACAATCATCACACAGAGCTGCTATCATCCTCTTTTACCACTTCACCAAATCTTTTCCAAACATGACTTTCTGGCCCTCCCTTCTCGTTATCTTCAACTCTCCATTTCACAGCTTTTCTCTTATTTAATTAAACTCCGACATTGTCCTTTTTGCCTCTGTGGATCAACGTTAAGGGCTCCCGAGTGGCGCAGTGGTCTAAGCCACTGCAGCTCAGTGCATGAGGCGTCACTATAGACACCCTGGTTCGATTCCAGGCTGTATCACAACCGGCTGTGATTGGGAGTCCCATAGGGCGGCGCACAATTGGCCCAGCATCGTCCGGGTTTGGCCGGTGTAGGCCGTCATTGTAAATAAGAATTTGTTCTTAACTGACTTGCCTAGTAAAATAAATAAAAAATTAACTTTTTCTGCCCGTTCCCTAAAGCATTTGGCGATTGGCTGTAGGCTATTTGGCGCGCCTACAGTTAGACTTGCGCATGAATACTAGATAGCCAAAAATAATGAAAGAAAAACCTCAATGTAGCCAATAGATTTAAAATGGCAAAATAATTGATTTTTTTAAGGTATTGTTTTCTCTTTATTCAACCCGCCCTTCATCCACACAATAATATTTAATGACCCTAAACCCGCGGATCTAACTGCAGGGACTGGGGGTTATGAGTCAACTCCTGCATCACTCGAGAAATCAGATTAGAAAATTCCTAATAAGACACTTTAGTCATCACCTTTGTGCACAAAACATCCATTGAATTAGTCAAATAATTGATGCTGAGGTCAATCCCCCCCCCCCCCATTACTCACAGCTGAAGATATTAACATGTTATATTAATCCAACGTCTGCAATGTTTTTGCATGAAGCAGTACGCTGAGTGATGTTGGTCTTTATAAACTGGGTGGTTCGGGCCCTGAATGCTGATTGGCTGACAGCCGTGGTATATCAGACCGTATACCACAGGTATGACAAAACATGTATTTTTACATTGGTAACCAGTTTGTAATAGCAATAAGGTACCTCGGGGGTTTGTGGTATATGGCCAATATACTACGGCTAAGGGCTGTATCCAGGCACTCGCGTTGAGTCGTGCTTAAGAATAGCCCTAGCCGGGGTATATTGGTCATATACCACACCCCCTCATGCCTTTTTGCCTAAGTATAAACCGGATGCAACACGGATATTGATGTCCATGAATCGGCATATGCGAACGTGAGTAGCTTACCTTGAAAACAACGGTCAGACATCTTGGACGCAGTCTCCAATTCTTACTACACCTCAGTGGTTGTACTTGGGACTCCACTTGAGACTCGGCGCTTGTGACTTGAACAATAGTGACTGGAAAAAAAGTTGATTGTGCATTGATAAGCACACCAAAGACGGCATTAACGATACATCATTAAAATAAACAAAGAGGGCGCTTCTAAAAGCACTTCACACCATAGCTGATGAATTTGCACCATAGCTTTTCTTTGATTTTGACACAAATGAAAATGTGGCACCGACTCGCCCATGGATTGATGTTTCAGCATTGTGTCTCAATGAAGAGTTCGGTGTTCAACTAGATGTCCGCGACATGAGTAGTTCTAGCTAGCTTCGTAGGATAGCCTCCCCCTCAGCTGCTTCTGCGTAATCCCAAAGTCTCGGACAGGGCTTGTGTGTAGCTCAATGACTCAGTTTGAAGTTACTTTGAGTTTATCAATATTGGGTGCATTGACTTGATTTGCATTGCTTTTTTGGTTGGAAAAAAAACTATTTTCATATACTGTGATTCAAAGCGATTGGGGGTTTCTCGTGACCAACCAAGTCAATGAAAAAACGTTGTCAGTTGATCCAAATGGAATAAACCACGTGTTACTACAGAGTCCCGGTTCACCTTTTGGTAACCACTTTTCCTGTAACGCTTCAAAACGTTGTAAACCCTCATTTCAAAACAAAATACTTACTGCAAGCATTAAGCATTCTATTACCTTCCATTTATTCATATAGCCATTATAGCTATTTCAGTTGTGCATTTCTAAACATTCTGCTCCTTGTCATATTCTAAAAGAACATTATTACATAAATAGTGTTTCACACAAAATTAAGAAAAATATACAGGATTATTATTTTAAAAACGAGGACATCAAGACCTAGATAGACTACATGCAAATGTTTAAAATATAATATGCTATAGGCACACCCTATTTTGGTCCGCGCTCTTTTGGCAGTTACTCTTCTGTTGACGCCTACATGTGATCTGCTGATTGGAGGTTAGCTTTGGGATGAGAGAGAGCAAAGTGCTTTTTGTGCTGGTCTCTCTCACCAGAGATGACTGGAAAACAACTGCCTAGTCTGTAATCAACACCTTCAAAAACAGGATTGTGCTTCACAGAAAATAGTGACTCCGTCTGCTACGCTTGGAGGTAAGGTTGCACCAATGAAAGAGCAGCAGAGGAGATCCATAGACTTGGAAACAATTCCAATTCTATTTTATGTCTCTATTCCAATATCTACACAAGCTTACCACTCAGAATGAAGCCATGTAAATGTGTTCTAAATACTCAGAACAAAGCCATAAGAGGAGGCTGGTGGGAGGAGCTATAGGAGGACAGGCTCATTGTAATGGTTGGAATGGCATTAACGGAATGGTATCGAACACATCAAACATATAGAAACCACATGTTGGATTCCGTTCTATTCCAGCCATTACAATGAGCCTGTCCTCCTATAGCTCCTCCCACCAGCCTCTGGAAGCCATGTATTGGATATGCGTTCTAAATAGTGTGCCAGTAAGTGTGGATATTGGAACGTGACCCCTGAGTGGGGACTCAGAGGTAGGATTACAAAAATCACAAAACTTTCCCAAAATGCCCTGGTTTTTCAGATATCCCAGTTGGAGGAGTCTGGGAATCAGCTGGGAATAAGCAGCGAGTGAATCTTCAAACCTGGAATTCTTCAACTGAGATTTATGAAACACCAGATAAAAGTTTAGGGAATTCAACTACCCTACCCCTGAGCGTGGGGGTGTAGGGGCCTCAGAGGTCCCTGAAGGCACAGAGTTGGATTCTCTTCTGGGTGTAGAAAGCCAGTAGGGCCGGGTCCTTCAGGGTGGTCAGCTCCTGCTGCCTGTCAGCCGACTGGGAGAAGTCGTCCGGCCCCTCCCCACACCCGCCCTCCTGGGGGTGGCTGGGGTACCCAGGGTGCACCATGAGCTCTGCCGTCAGCACATGACGCTCCGTGGTGTTCATCCTGTTTTTACTTCCACCCCCAGGGGGCGACAGTGAGACCTCCAGGTCTAGTTCCAGGGCATGGCTGAAGGCTCGTCTGAGGTTGGGGACCGACATGTTGTGGCCCATGGTGGTCAAACCTAGATAGACGTCAGGCCATCTGGGAGAGGGGGGGGGTAGAATAAATTGACATTTTCAGCTCATCACTTCTTTTTTTTTAATTTCTTTTTTACTTTTAACCCAACCCGAGAGAAACAAAAAACACAATCTTCTCTCATTGCACGATTTAAATCTCCCAGGACAACTGAGAGGAAAATAATCACTTTATATGCCTTAAGGTCATCTTCAAGTCTTTAGTCTTCAAGGAACTTGCCACCTCTCTAATACTGGGCGGCAGGTAGCTTAGTGGGTAAGAGCGTTGTGCCAGTAACCGAAAGGTCGCTGGTTCTAATCCCCGAGCCGACTAGGTGAAAAATCTGTCGATGTGCCCTTGAGCAAGGCACTTAACCCTAATTGCTCCTGTAAGTCGCTCTGGATAAGAGCGTCTGCTAAATAAAAAAATTATTAATTATTATTTTTACTGTACCAGGATACACTGTAAACAGAGCTGTGGATGAGCAAAGTATGGATCCTGAAGAGATGATCATCACATTCACTACTACTACGGGGATCTCAGTGCGTCTCCTACCTGATGCCATGTCGTCTGAACACGGGAACAGACTCCAGCGCGTCCCTCTCCACCTGAGCGTAGAAGTCTCTGAGGACAGGGGACAGCCAGGGACATGAGTGTAGACCACGCTCCACTGGAACACGCGTATAGGAGATCCCACAGTCAGACAGCACCTGTGCAAACACCGCACACACCTCTGACACACACACACACACACACACACACACACACACACACACACAATCAGATGTGCAGCCACGTGCGATTCAGATATTTGTCAAGCATTAAAATGACAATCACAATTTTTACCATGAGTTATAACAATTTACTACTGCTCTATTAACTAATTATAGTATCAAGCGTCACCAATGCCCTTAAGACAATGGCGTGGTAAAAAGCCCTACATGTTCAAATGAAAAGGAATGACTAAGTGGAATATCCTGGTTAAATAAATGAAATGATAAAATCAACAGTGGTAACGTCATTTAAAACTAAAAGGCGAGTCCTTTTCCCCCCTCCTAGTCCTGTAAACAGTGGACGTTGAAGATTTCTTCATCTAGATTAGATCACCTAACAGCCCATATAAACAAACCACATGATTCAGTGCATCATCAGCGGTGTATAGACCCCAGGCTCATGTGCGTCATGACAGTGACCTTGTAAAAGGGGAAGAGTTCTGCGGTGTTATCAGAACGTCCTGAGTAGAATATGTCAGTCACATGGTTGAGGTTCAGTCTTTCATACTCAACACTTGTCTCTGTTGGGAAATACCTCTCACAATAACAATTTTCACGCAATGATCATAGGAACACACACGCGAGCACACACACACACACCTTTCTAGTAGTTTTATGGCGTCATACCTGGCAGCACATGGATGTGTTGGTGCCCGTCCATGTGACAGGGTAGATGACCCATCAGCTCTCCGAACAGCCTCACCTGAGCCCTCAGCTCCAGCTCCACCTGACACACACACAATGTGAAAGCACACACCTGAAAGATAACCATGTGCCACGGGGAGAGTGGACATATACCCACGATACAGTCTTAGGGACAAATACACACCCTATGGACAGTGTGTAGCTAAAACACACACACACACACACACACACGATAAGGAACAAACAAACACCAAGGCCAAAAACACACCCTCCACACAACAGAAGAAAAAAAAAAACACGTGTCACGCTAAAACGGTTCCCAGTAGAGGGGGAACGAACGAATATGTTCCACATATGAACAAAAGGGAGTTGAATGAGATTATTAGGGAATGCCTGATCCTGCTTTGGTTTACTGTAAACTGAGTCTAAGGCCTCACGCTATTAAAACATAGAAAATACCAGTTACTCCTGAGTATATTTATTTATAAATCATCACATAGTTGGATAAGTCAAGATAGTGGGTGAGTTTTTGAAAGCCTCTTATATGGCATCTACCAGTGTCATGCTGTGTAGGCCAGTTAATCATACCATCAACAATGCCTCTTTCAAACAGATTTACATGCCCATGTTTACACCCTCCTGTACATTCTCAATACACCCTCCTGTACATTCTCAATACACCCTCCTGTACAGTCTCAATACACCCTCCTGTACAGTCTCAATACATCCTCCTGTACAGTCTCAATACACCCTCCTGTACAGTCTCAATACATCCTCCTGTACAGTCTCAATACATCCTCCTGTACAGTCTCAATACACCCTCCTGTACAGTCTCAATACATCCTCCTGTACAGTCTCAATACATCCTCCTGTACAGTCTCAATACACCCTCCTGTACAGTCTCAATACATCCTCAACGTGACCATGATCTCCACACAAGCGTGCGGTTCATGAATGACATCTCAAACAGACTGAGAGTATGTGGTCGTCACGCCCGGAGCCGGATACGCCTCCGAGGCGGAATGCCCACCCGGCCCCTACCCTGTTAGGTGAAGGTTGTGCGGTCGGAGTCCGCACCTTTGGGGGGGGGGGGGGGGTTGGTACTGTCACGCCCTGACTCAGGGGACTCGTATATGTTGAGTCAGGGTGTGTATATTCTTTGTTGCGTATATTCTATGTGGGGTTATTCTAGTATGTGTAGATCTATGTTGGCCGGTGTGGTTCCCAATCAGAGGCAGCTGTAGCTCGTTGTCTCTGATTGGGGCTCATACTTAAGCAGCCTATTGGCACTAGTGTGTTGTGGGATCTTGTTCCTTGTAGGTATGTTGTGTGTTCTACCTTGGACTTCACGTTTCGTTTCGTTTGTCGTTGTGTTTATTTGGTTTAATAAACATGTACGTATATCACGCTGCGCCTTGGTCTGACCCGTCAATGAACGAACGTGACAGTTGGAGTGTGCCCCTGGCTATCCGTAAATGAAAAATAAAAAAAATATGGTGCATCTGGTTTGCTTACTATAAGGAATTTTAATTGATTTATACTTTTACTTTTGATACTTAAGTATATTTAAAACCAAATACTTTTACTCAAGTAATATTTTACTGGGTGACTTTTCCTTGAGTCATTTTCTATTAAGGTATCTTTACTTTTACTCAAGTATGACAATTGGGTACTTTTTCCACCACTGCTCAGATGACACTCAGACAGCTAATCTGCCATTAAAACAAACAGGTGTTAGACAGTACAGACATGAAGGTCCATACATATTCATGGAAATAATCTGATAACATCTTAATCTGATATTGTCTTAATCTGATAACTTCTCACTTAAATCTGCCTTTGGCATTCAAGCAATAATTTGGTAAAATACTATACTTATCGAGCAATGTTGACATTAAGTAAAACTGGAGTGGAGAATGGGCAATTCCACGGTAACAGAGTGATACTGAGAATGGGATTTTTCACTTTAAAATGTATGCCAAACTAAAACCGATGATTGCAAAGTTAAACAACTCTATCCACAAGGACGACTTTTAATAATTTCCTCCGAAAATGTAACAAAAACACATTTACTTGAAGAACAGTGCAGATCCAAAGTTTGGTAACAGAAACACAGGACTGGAGAGTGAAAGGGGATAATGAATGTGATATTACTGAAGCTCAGCGCTGTGCTGTGAGTCTGGTCTGAAGCTCAATGCCTGTGGTACCAACTAACATGGAACATCTCCCTTGTTAAGCCTAGATGAGGACCAATTTCTCTGACATACCACCTCTGTTACTCTCCCATCTCAATATAATAATATGCCATTTAGCAGACGCTTTTATCCAAAGCATACATTTTTACATATGGGTGGTATACCACCGTCCCCATCTTTTTTTGATCTCTCTAGACTATTTATCCATTGATTCCTTCTCTTCATTCCTCTCTCTATAAATTTGAGTTGGTTAAGGGACCATGGATTTTAGACTGCTAACATTTACATTTTAGTCATTTAGCAGACACTCTTATCCAGAGCGACTTACAGGAGCAATTAGGGTTAAGTGCCTTGCTCAAGGGCACATCGACAGATTTTTCACCTAGTCGGCTCGGGGATTAGAACCAGCGACCTTTCGGTTACTGGCACAACGCTCTTAACCACTAAGCTACCTGCCGCCCAGTGCTAAGTATTGCAGAGTATTTCAATTTGCTACGGATGCCATTCAACAAGACACATTTACATTCTACCGGTGACCAATACAATTTAAATGAGAAGAATCTTTGCTTACTATGACCGTGATATGTGGTTGTCCCACCTAGCTATCTTCAGATGAATGCACTAACTGTACGTGGCTCTGGATAAGAGCATCTGCTAAATGACTAACATGTCATGTAAACTGTCATTCTGTTACCAAACTTTGCATCTGCGCTGTTCTTCAAGTAAATGTGTTTTTAGTAACATTTTCTGTGGACATTGTTAAAAGTAGTCCTTGTGCATAGAGTTGTATGGTTTTATTGAACTTTGTGAAAAATCTGAGTCTCAGCATCACTCTGTTACCGTGGAAATGCCTGAATATGAAAAAAGGAAAAACCCTGCGCCACCTCAACTAAGCTGTTAAGAAAGAAGCTTACCTCTGTCATGCTGACCTGGCCACTCTGTAGAGCCTTTCTGAAGCCCATCTTCCCATGGAAGAACCCATCTTTGTTGAGGAGCGTGGAGCCCCGCTTCAGACCCTGGCTGACTGGTAGACCCTCTGAGAGGTTGGCATGGAGACCGATGGGAATGCGATGTCTGTGGGGGGAGATGGGGAAAATCAGGAAATTAGGGGTCAGTTTTCCAGACTCAAAGTAAGCCTGGTATTTGACTAAGGAAGCATGTTCAATAGAGGTTTTCCATTGAAAGTGCTTTAGTCCTGGACTAGGCTTTATATTGTGGAATCAGACCCTATAGTGTCTGATATCATAGATGGAATTGTCTAACAACAATATGAGCAGGTACACACTCGCCGAGAGAAGAACACATAAGATTAGACAAAAAAAAAAAAAGGAATATGAGATTTCTAAATGTATAACACCTTTCCTGATCGCATGAATTATTCAATACACAATCAATAAAAACACAACAAGTGAAAGTGAACTGAATGTCACCTATCAGGAAGTTAATGTATTTTTTAAACCGACTTACTGTAACTTATCGGGACTCCCTAAATTGCTACGTGAATTATCCCAACCTGTAGCATAAATGTTCCTAACCTGGTACGAAAAAGTCGTAGCTGTATGGAAGTGTTGTGTTTTTAGGGAATCTTGTAAGTTATCAGTAGGCTATTAAACGTCATATTATCTATGGAAGTAAACCTTGTACTTTACTACATGAAGCCTACTTACCTTTTGGCCAGCTCTGTCGCTTCTTTCGCCGAGGAGGCGTTAACCAGAAGGGACACATTAGAAATGCCCCCAGCTTGGAAACAATCCACTATCCCCTGGTTCCTCTTCGGACAGTACCCAAAATCATCTCCTGTCACCACCAGCTTGACTTTGGGTTGAGGCATTATCGATGGACGCTGGTGGAAAAAGTGACACAACACAGGAGAGACAGAGCGAATCAGACTAGGCGGCTACCCACTGGACACACACAGGTTGAATCAACGTTGTTTACACGTCATTTCAACGAAATTACGTTGAACCAACGTGGAATATACGTGGAATTGACGTCTGTGCCCAGTGGGACTTTGTTTCCAAGTTGCGCGCAGCACTGAGAGGCAACAGTGTAGCGATGTTCAATTCACCAGCTTGTGAAACATCACCGGTGGACGCTACATATTTATTGAAACATTGTAGGCCCCTGCGGTGACACAAACGTGATCATCTCGTGAACGTGGTAGCCAAGACGATGTCACCCACGAGAACACAACCTACTTTTTCCAGTTCGAAGTGGAAGCCTAAGCAAAGCTTATATTCTATCTCGAATAGAACTGTCAAATTCCTGCTCTATGATTTGAGTCGGCGAATCAGATCATTTGCAAGCCCGGATTAGACAAAAAAATATGTTGCTTGCCCTCTTTGATCGATCTTTTTATAGATCCATAAAAGCCTGTCCTGATGATAGCCGATTGACTCTATAAACTGGGTTTCCAGCTGGCAGTAGCCAGCTAGTTGTCAACCCAATGCACAGGAAGGCAACTCAACTCATTAGTGGAAAACATAGTCACTATGGTCACTTTCACAGCCTAATCCCATAGAGGCAATGGCCCTAGCATACCTAGAAATGTATGGACATTTAAGAAATAGGCCTACAATTTACACTTGTTTCAACGAATGAGAGACTAATGCAAACAAGCACCCTCTATTTAGAATATGCGAGGAGGTTAACTGCAATCTGCCTCTCGTTCAGTAGCATACACGTAATACACAATAATAGATAATGGAACCAAATCGAATTGATCCATAGCCTGTAAGTCATATATACTCTAAAGAGTGAAGAGACGCGTCTTACCCATTTTTAAGACACGTGTTTGTCCATTTATGTCCGAAGCCAGAGAGGCAAAACGAGAACAAATACCAAGCTCTTCCGACTGACTCAAGGCTGCAATGAAATCCGTAACCTACTTTTATGGATTAAAGCTACCTCTAGTGGATTTAAATGGTATTTCATGTGACGTGTGTTTAAAAAGAGTGATGTGTATGAACCCTGGATGATTTAAAGGGCACGCGGATTTGAAGCCAAAGCAGCCATCTTGGTACTCCTCCGTTGTAAAAAAAATAATACATTTTGGAAGCTATATAAATGCATTTATAAATGTCTACATTCGTTTTTGACACGTTTATTCTATTACAGACACCTTCATGCATACTTTTAAATTATATTACTTTTAAAATATATATATATTTTTTAAATCATGCTTCCAGGAATTTGTGTACAGATCCTTGCGACACGGGGCTGTCCATTATCGTGCTGAAACATGAATGGCACACTAAATGGGCCTTAGTATCTGTGTGTAGATTGATGAGGAAACAAATTAAGTTAATCAATTTTAGAATAAGGCTGTAACGTAAAACAAAATGTGGAAAAAAAGGGGGTCTGAATACTTTCTGTATTTTTGTTCAGTGTATTACCCTTCGTAGCCTTTCACAGGAGGTTGGTGGCACCTTAATTGGGGAGGACGGGCTTGTGGTAATGGCTGGAGCATAATCAGAGGAATGGTATAGAATATTTCCATGTGTTTGATGCCATTACATTTGCTCCGTTCCAGTCATTATTATGAGCCGTCCTGCCCTCAGCAGCCTTCTGTGTTAGGCCTACATATGGTTTTCGTTTAGTTTGAGGAGAATAATAAAAAATATTCTGCGTATGTTGCATAACTATTTGAGGAAATAACTAAGTGTAAATCATTTGCCCTATTCAATCAAGGCATGCAATTCGGTGGTCTACAAGACTTTTGGCCTATCCCTAGCCAAGGGCAAACTCATCAAATACAGACTGATCATCATATAAAACATTCAGAAGTCGTGATAAGACCTATCCCCTTACCGTGCCAGGCTCTTGTGAACCTGTGTGCCTTTCTGCTATTATGAATACCGCTGGCTACACAGTGTTGCCTTTCCCATGTCACGTGGCCCCAGTTGGGCAATGACCCTATAAAGTTGACACAGGAACCTGTGACATAATCATCTATTCAATTCTGTTCTTTATACAACGGGTGGGTCTAATCCTGAATGCTGATTGGTTAAAACTGCATTCCAGCCGGTGTCTATTCCACAAGTTACCACCCGCTAAATCTATGACGTTAAAATGCCTGTTTACTCTGTTCCATCTGACTGCGCAATCCAGTGTCTCATCAGCCCAGCCAGGCAATTTATAAACTTGATCTCCACTATAAAAAGCATCCAGACATTATCTTACATTTCTTTTCGACTAACATTTCATTTTCAACAGCAGAGATTTGTATAAACCTTGCTGTCTGTCTCTCCAAGATTTGAAACGTTGTTTCAATATTCAAATTTGATCTCCAGCTGTCCCATAGTAATGAACGTGTCGGGAGTCGGAATGAGACAGACAGGCAGGCAGCGTTTCTCAGCCAGTCGAAATCATGAATCAGCTGGCATCATTTTTATGGACATATACAAAGAAATGTAAATTGAAAAAAGGTCAAACGAAACGAAGTGCAGCTAGTTTGCTGTCTAGCCAGCTTCAGTTTGAAGTGATTGTGTTAGTGTCCTGACGTGTGAGCACATTTTTATGCCAGGCAAAATCGCGCCTCGTTAGCTCATTGTTATGGATGTATCCAAATAAATGTCACTAGAAAACAGCTTAAACAAATGCAAATGCTGCTACTTTGCGTGACTAAGTTAGCCGTAGTTTGTATTTTGTATTTTTGTATTTTATTAGGGATCCCCATTAGCTGCTGGCTAGCTAGCAAGCAAGGGATAAGAACATTGCCAGCTGGGTCGCGCGTCCATAGATACAGAGCAAAAAGACTGAACGACTGGGTCGCGTCTCTGGCAAACAACGACTTCGTTTATTCTCAATGACATAGCAGCCTAATGGATTGATGCACAATTAGCCAACGTTCTAATTCTTTAATTATATTGTTCCAGTATGCATTTGTGTAATCACTGAGGCATTTGATTGGGCAAGTAGGCTAGTGGGCGTGAGTTCAGAATGAACACAGAGTTCAGAATTTGCAATAGTAGGCCTAGCAGTATTCGTTTTGCAAAAAAAAAATTACTAGGCCTACACAGCCTACATTGAAAGAACAGTAGGCTTGTTACAGGCCGTTATAATGTCTGGATTCTGCACATCTATTCTGAAAAGAGTTGATGCAGCAGGAAGTTCAGACCCCGATGCAAGCAGTGGACTCAACTTTCTCATATCTGACTTGACCGAATCGGAACGCGACCTCTTCAGAAATCTAAAACTGTTGGACGCGGACCGGGAATGGATGGAGTCGGACGAAGACGTGGTTCTGTCGAGCAGAACTTCAGGCTCCTCTGCCCAAAACCCAGTCATCCATCGTTGGTCTCTGAGATCCTATGGCACAGTACCTGAAAAGAGGAGCTCAAAGCTTTCCTTGAGAAAAGAGGGACCTACAAGCTAGAGAGGGTCATGTCAAAAGCCCTGCTGAAACTTCTTCCGGCCAGAAAAGCCCACTGTTTATCATCCCGAAACCTGCCCTCCCCGGTCAAAATAAGACAACGTCAGACAAGGAGACAAATGTATCTCGTTTGAATGTAACGGCTGGGTCTTTGGCAGTTGACGCCAATCAATCCCTCGCCGGGCTCTCGTCCACGGGCTTGACCTGGACCCCTCAACCAATCAGAGCACAGGAAACACGGGGGAGATTCCAGAGAAGCAGTCGTCATCCACTCTGAGAATAGAGCAACATGAGTGTTCGAATAAGATTGCCTTTGATACATTTACGTTACATTTTAGTCATTTAGCAGACGCTCTTATCCAGAGCGACTTACAGTTAAGTGAATGCATACGTTTTTTTTCATTTTTTTATTTTTTTTATACTGGCCCCCCGTGGACAGGAGCACAAAATGTGTAACGTGTTACAGACATGTTCTCTTGGGGTCCTGGGGGTGTCCTTCTGAGCTTCTCTCTTGACGGCCGACGGCTGGACCTGAGCCTCTACACTGTCCACGGTCTCCACCGTACCACCCTTGTTGTTCTGTACCCATGCTGATTCTACACTGTCCACGGTCTCCACCGTACCACCCTTGTTGTTCTGTACCCATGCTGATGCAAAGGCAGAACACATTAACTCTGAGCTTGTCAACAAAAAGGTGTGTGTGTGTGTGTGTGTGTGTGTGTGTGTGTGTGTGTGTGTGTGTGTGTGTATGTGTGTGTGTGTATGTGTGTGTGTGTACACTACCAGTCAAAAGTTTGGACACAACTACTCATTCAAGGGTTTTTCTTTATTTGTACTATTTTCTACATTGTAGAATAATAGTGAAGACATCAAAACTGTGAAATAACAGTTATGGAAAATATATTTTATATTTGAGATTCTTCAAAGTAGCCACCCTTTGCCTTGATGACAGCTTTGCACACTCTTGGCATTCTCTCAACCAGCTTCATGAGGTAGTGACCTGGAATGCATTCCAATTAACAGGTGTGCCTTCTTAAAAGTTAATTTGTGGAATTTCTTTCCTTCTTAATGTGTTTGGGCCAATCAGTTGTAGGGGTGGTACACAGAAGATAGCCCTATTTGGTAAAAGACCAAGTCCATATTATGGCAAGAACAGCTCAAATAAGCTAAGAGAAACGACAGTCCATCATTACTTTAAGACATGAAGGTCAGTCAATACGGAACATTTCAAGAACTTTTAAAGTTTCTTCAAGTGCAGTCGCAAAAACCATCAAGAACTATGATGAAACTGGCTCTCATGAGGAACGCCACAGGAAAGGAAGACCCAGAGTTACCTCTGCTGCAGAGGATAAGTGTCACGATCGTCTAGTAGCGAAGTAGACCAAGGCGCAGCGTGTGAAAGAAACATGACTTTATTTAATAAAGTATCTAACAAACAAACAAAACACGACTCGTGAAGTCCAAACGGTTACACTGACCGAACACGGAACAAAAACCCACAACACCCAAGGGAAAACATACAGATTAAATATGGCTCCCAATCAGAGACAACCAGCCGACAGCTGACACTCGTTGCCTCTGATTGGGAGTCACACAGGCAAACATAGACCTAGACAACCTAGCATACCCAACATAGAAAACTAACACATAGAATGCACACACCCTGGCTCAACATAAAGAGTCACATAGCCAGGGTGTGACAGTACTCCCCCCTAAAGGCGCGGACTGCGACCGCGTCTAAACAAAACCCCAAACAGGGGAGGGCTGGGTGGGCATTCCTCCTCGGAGGCGGCTCCGGCTCCGGCTTTGACCACCACCCCTCCATACTACCCCCGTAGCGCCCCTGGTCCGGTCTGACCCCGCTGGCTGGATCTGGACTGGACATTGACGGAGCGGATTGCTTACGCTCCGTTGTGGAGCAGCTGACCGGTCTTACCAGGCTGACGACTCGCACCCCGGGCTTGGTGCGAGTAGCAGGAACGGGCTGAACCAGGCTGACGACTCGCACCCCTGGCTTGGTGCGAGTGGCAGGAACAGGCTGGACCAGGCTGGCGACTCGCACCCCTGGCTTGGTGCGAGTGGCAGGAACAGACCGGGCCGGGCTGGCGACTCGCACCCCTGTCTTGGTGCGAGTGGCAGGAACAGGCCGGGCCGGGCTGGCGACGCGCACCGTAGGTTTGGTGCGAGTGGCAGGAACAGGCCGGGCCGGGCTGGCGACGCACACCGTAGGTTTGGTGCGTGGAGCAGGGACAGGCCGGGCTGGGCTGGCGACGCACCCCGTAGGCTTGGTGCGTGGAGCAGGGACAGGCCGGGCTGGGCTGGCGACGCACACCGTAGGCTTAGTGCGTGGAGCAGGGACAGGCCGGGCTGGGCTGGCGACGCACACCGTAGGCTTAGTGCGAGGAGCAGGAACAGGCCGGGCAGGGCTGGCGACGCACACCGTAGGTTTGGTGCGTGGAGCAGGTACAGGCCGGGCTGGGCTGGCGACGCACCCCGTAGGCTTGGTGCGTGGAGCAGGGACAGGCCGGGCAGGGCTGTCGACGCACACCGTAGACTTGGTGCGTGGAGCAGGAACAGGCCGGGCAGGGCTGTCGACGCACACCGTAGACTTGGTGCGTGGAGCAGGAACAGGCCGGGCAGGGCCGTCGACGCACACCGTAGACTTGGTGCGTGGAGCAGGAACAGGCCGGGCAGGGCTGGCGACGCACACCTTAGGTTTGGTGCGTGGAGCAGGGACAGGCCGGGCTGGGCTGGCGACGCACACCGTAGGTTTGGTGCGTGGAGCAGGGACAGGCCGGACCGTACTGGGAACACACACCACTGGCTTTAAACGGGGATCAGGAACGGGCCGGACCGGACTGGCAATCCACCTCAGTCCCTCTCGCCGTGCCTCTACGACTTCCTTCCCTCCTCTCGCCAATGGCTCCCGTAACCCGGTGGCCTTCTCTCCTCTTCTCCTATTTCGCCCTGTGGCAGCCTCCTGCTGCCCAGTCGCCCATGCCGTGTGCCCCCCCCTAAAAAATTATTGGGGGTGCCTCTCGTCCGTCCGACGATGGCACTGCTGACGCCGCTGCTCCTCTCTCGCCAGGGCCTTGATCCTACCCCAAGGTCCCTTGCCCCCGAGCATGTCCTCCCAGGACCACACTTTGCCCACCTGGGCCATCGCCAGCCTCTCTATCTCCTTTCCTGGCGCTTCCTCCCATGACCAGGCTGCCTGCTCCTGGACACGCTGCTTGGTCCTTGTATGGTGGGTTTTTCTGTCTCGATCGTCTAGTAGCGAAGTAGACCAAGGCGCAGCGTGTGAAAGAAACATGACTTTATTTAATAAAGTATCTAACAAACAAACAAAACACGACTCGTGAAGTCCAAACAGTTACACTGACCGAACACGGAACAAAAACCCACAACACCCAAGGGAAAACATACAGATTAAATATGGCTCCCAATCAGAGACAACCAGCCGACAGCTGACACTCGTTGCCTCTGATTGGGAGTCACACAGGCAAACATAGACCTAGACAACCTAGCATACCCAACATAGAAAACTAACACATAGAATGCACACACCCTGGCTCAACATAAAGAGTCCCATAGCCAGGGTGTGACAATAAGTTCATTAGAGTTACCAGCCTCAGAAATTGCAGCCCAAATAAATGCTTCCCAGAGTTCAAGTAACAGACATCAACATCAACTGTTCAGAGGAGACTGCGTGAATCAGGACTTCTTGGTCGAATTGCTGCAAAGAAACCACTACTAAAGGACACCAATAATAAGAAGAGACTTGCTTGGGCCAAGAAACACGAGCAATGGACATTAAGACAGGTGGAAATCTGTCCTTTGGTCTGATGAGTCCATATTTAAGATTTTTGGTTCCAATCGCCGTGTCTTTGTGAGACGCAGAGTAGATGAACGGATGATCTCCGCATGTGTGGTTCCCACCGTGAAGCATGGAGGAGGAGGTGTGATGGTGTGGGGGTGTTTTGCTGGTGACACTGTCTGTGATTTATTTAGAATTCAAGGCACACTTAACCAGCATGGCTACCACAGCATTCTGCAGCAATACGCCATCCCATCTGGTTTGTGCTTAGTGGGACTATCATTTGTTTTTCAACAGGACAATGACCCAACACACATCCAGGCTGTGTAAGGGCTATTTGACCAAGAAGGAGAGTGATGGAGTGCTGCATCAGATGACCTGGCCTCCACAATCCCCCGACCTCAACCCAATTGAGATGGTTTGGGATGAGTCGGACGGCAGAGTGAAGGATAAGCAGCCAACAAGTGCTCAGCATATGTGGGAACTCTTTCAAGACTGTTGGAAAAGGATTCCAGGTGAAGCTGGTTGAGAGAATGCCAAGAGTGTGCAAAGCTGTCATCAAGGCAAAGGGTGGCTACTTTGAAGAATATAAAATATAAAATATATTTTGATTTGTTTAATACTTCTTTGGTTACTACATGATTCCATATGTGTTATTTCATAGTTTTCATGTCTTCACTATTATTCTACAATGTAGAAAATAAAGAAAAACCCTTGGATGAGTAGGTGTGTCCAAACTGTTGACTGGTACTGTATGTGTGTCTGTGTGTGTGTCGGTGGCGTGTTGTCATGGAAGCCAATGGAAGCCAGGGATGCCAAGGGAAGCCAGGCTTCCCCAAAAAATGGACCAAGATTAAAAAATATTGTAAAAAATATACAAAATAAGTCTCTCAGTGTTTCAGAAATATTCTTCAATTCGCAAGAGGCTGAATTTATCTCACCGGTTAAAGGATTCGAGCGAATGAAACAGCGCCCCCTCTGTCTCAGTATGTGTAGTGTATCTGATGCTGTCTGGTCAGAGAGAGTATGACATTGTTGCCCGCCCGTAGCATTAAATGCAAGGGAAGCCAGCGAGCATTTGGCCTCCCTTGATAAATAAAGTATAAAATAATAGCCAATCAGCATTGAGGTAAACTGACTGAGCTCAACTGTGACTGGTCCTGGCGCACCAAGGGAAGCCAGCTTGGATTTGGCTTCAGACCAATCACATCGCAAGCCAAACTTCATTATTGACAGAATAAAACTTGAATTGTAGCTAAAATCGTCCCTTTCCTAAGTTAGCCATGGATGGAGATAGGGATTTGGACTTGTGGTTTTACTTAATTATTCATACTGGCCAATGATTATAACGGCGATTCTGATCCAACCATAAATTCATACATTGTGCCCCTGGCCTGAGAGGATGGAAGTTCAATATGTAGCTAGCTAGCTGGATGTAGTATGCTAATGTTAACTAGCTGGGCTGGCATATTGTTGCTCATGAAAGTTAGGCTAGCTAGGAAGTATTTTAGCCAGGTAGCCTAGGACAACAACAAATAAAAGCCTGTACAGTATGACAGAGTCATAGACCGTTTAGGCAACATGAAAGAGGAGGATGGCGTTGGCGTTTCTCTACAAGTAGGGTGAGTCAACATGTTTTTTCTACTTACACACACACACACACACACACACACACACACACACATAAATCAGTACCATGGACAGCCACATCATATTTATCTTACGTTGATTGGACTAAATAGTTTTTGGGGTCTTTTAGTTGTCACTGTATTAGACTAAGCAGAGGTGATTATGTTGAAATGTTGAAGTTGAAATGGTGCTGGAATAGTGGAGGCAGCTCCTGTTTTCTCTGCAACTTGCGGTAACTCTCTGGTGTTCTAAATCTATAGTTGTTTAGTAGTCCGAAAATGTCGTAAACATTAACTTGCTTGACCATGCTGTAGGTCATGTAAATGTTTGTTACATGCAATATGCTTTGCAATATGTGGTGTGTTTATGTAGGGCTGGAGAAAAAGTCTGCAAACACAGTAGCTCTCTAGTAGGAGGGTTGGTGACTCCTGATTTAAACCAGACTGTATAGTTAGGCTTCCAAATAGAGAATTGGATTACTCCTCCTATTTTCACAGAAACTTGGCCAGACCCCTCATCACAGGTACACCGGCTGTCTTCCACCAGTGAGCAGCAGTTTCCGTGATCTCAGAGAAGGATCCAGCCCTGTCCAACCTCAACAGAGAGACCAGGAGGGAGACATACCTCTCCCAGAAGACCCTGTCCACCCAGAAGGCCCTGTCCAACCTGTTGTTGATGTGAAGCAGGAGTGATAGGAAGGGAGAATGAGGAATATGAGGCCAATGTGTTTGATCAACTAGGGTGCATCACAGTGGTCTGAAGTGGGTTCTTCTCCTTGTCGCAATTCCTTGTCTCCTCCTCTCATTAATCTCTGTTGACATGTCCAGCTCTTTATAATGCAGATGGTGGAAAGAGGAGGGAAGAAAACCTAGCCTACTAAATTGTTCTATAGCCTAAATCATTGAATGATATGGTTGGCCACACAATAATACTCAAATTCGATAAACACAAGCCATTTCAAAGACCATATAAGAGAATCTTGCGTTGCAACAATGTATCAATCTTGTATCAGCAGTAGTTTTCTGTTTCCACAGCCACAAAGTCAACATTCATGAAGAGAAACATTTACTTTTTTGGTCTTAATTTTTTTATTTAACTACGCAAGTCAGTTAGGGACAAATTCTTATTTACAATGACGGCTTACACCGGCCAAGCCTGGACGACGCTGGGCCAATTGTGCGCCGCTCTATGGGACTCCCAATCAAGGCGTGTTGTGATACAGCCTGGAATCGAACCAGGGTGTCTATAGTGACGCCTCAAGCACTGAGCTCCAGTGCCTTAGACCGCTGCACCACTCGGGAGGGTTATGTTTAAGGTTAGCAGTGGGGTTAGGGTTAGGTTTAAAATCACATTTTAAGAAGATAAATTGTAGAAATAGGCGGTGTTTATGACTTTGTTACTGTGGTAACTAGTGACGACGACTTTCTGGACATAATTTCATTTCCGCTTCCGAATTAATTTACCAAATTTGCAGGACCTCGCATATGCTTCAACCAATCACAGATCAGCATGTGTTATATTTTACTTCCGTGATCAGGGACTTGTCAAGCTCTGATTGGTTTACATCAGCACTAACGTTTGAAAGTGCCTTGTCCTCGAGTTTTACATCCTCTCACTCATGTCCATAGAGACAGAACAATGGTATTAATTTACGCTCTACGCGGCTTTATCAAATCATTTTTGGTCGTTCTTTTGTGGTCCAATTGCGAGGGTCGGGAGTCCGAGTTTAACTATGTCACTTGCGGTTCGCTCGTGAAATTGCTGAACACGAGACACAACGTTCGGCTGCACTCTCATGATGTAAAATACGGCTCAGGTAAGCCATCATCATCAACCACCTTCATCACTAGAGAACTCCATCATCAACCTGCATCACCAGTTATTGACGGAATAGTCTAATGCTGCGTTCAAAACAACTGGAAACTCGGAAATCTCAGAATTCCGACTTCAAGGTTTTCAAGACAACTTGGAAAACGAGCTCTGATTCTTTTCCGCGTTCCCAGTTGTCTTAAAAGCACTATACATGTACATCTTAGTGATTTCGTTTAATAAAGGCACCACAGCATAACAAAAAGCCTTACAGACAGTCATGAATCGGTTGGTCTCCATTTATTTGCTGCATGTCAGGAGGACCGACGTAAACCTATAAGTATCACGGCTTTAAAATGGTTATAACAATAAACTAATTTATTTGCCTATATGACAGTGGACTAGACTGGTCGAGAATCGAGCTAGCAACAATGTATCAATCTGTGAGTGGAACATTTGTTCCAACAATGTATCATCACTCGATAGTGAAAAACATTTGTAACAACGGAATAAGCAGGTGTTGACATTCCAGTGCGGTCTATTGGATACATTTTCCTCCCCTTTTTAACCACTGATCGAGACAGGAAGTAGAAGCCCTATTGTAATTTACAGTAAAATGTAAACTAAGCTGGTTGCAGAGAGACGTATCAGTTGCACCCAGAGCAGGTGTACTGTAACCTAACACACAACAATAGAACCCACAGGAAGTGGGTTTTAGCTGTGACACATACTAACGTCGCTCTGGATAAGAGGGTCTGCTAAATGACGTAAATGTAAACATACTGGACTCTATTACAGGTGGAGCCAGTCATTTGCAAAACTGACCTTTTTGTTGTGTGTTTTAGTAATATGCCATCATTCAAATTAAAGTATATTGGTCGCGTACTCAGTTTAGCAGATATTATAGTTGGTGCAGTGAAACGCTTATGTTACTAGCTCCTAACAATGCAGTTAAATGTCAAGCAAGTACACAAACAATCACACAAAAAAGCAACAAGAAATCAAGAAATGTCGGAACTAATCCCATTTAACAACCCAAATAGCACTGTAACAGTAATTCAAATGCTATCTGTACATATATACACCGGATGAATTTATACAACATATACTAAGAATGGTATGTACAGCAGTAGATATACTAAGAATGGTATGTACAGCAGTAGATATACTAAGAATGATATGTACAGCAGTAGATATACCAAGAATGGTATGTACAGCAGTATGTATACTAAGAATGATATGTACAGCAGTATATATACTAAGAATAATATGTACAGCAGTATATATACAAAGAATGATATGTACAGCAGTAGATATACTAAGAATGATATGTACAGCAGTAGATATACTAAGAATGATATGTACAGCAGTAGATATACTAAGCATTATATGTACAGCAGTAGATATACTAAGAATGATATGTACAGCAGTATATATACTAAGAATGGTATGTACAGCAGTATATATACTAAGAATGGTATGTACAGCAGTATATATACTAATAATGATATGTACAGCAGTATATATACTAAGAATGGTATGTACAGCAGTAGATATACTAATAATGGTATTTACAGCAGAATGATATGTACAGCAGTAGATATACTAAGAATGGTATGTACAGTAGTAGATATACTAAGTATTATATGTACAGCAGTATATATACTAAGAATGATATGTACAGAAGTAGATATACTAAGAAGGATATGTACAGCAGTAGATATACTAAGAATGATATGTACAGAAGTAGATATACTAAGAATTATATGTACAGCAGTAGATATACTAAGAATGGTATGTACAGCAGTAGATATACTAAGAATGATATGTACAGCAGTAGATATACTAAGAATTGTATGTACAGCAGTAGATATACTAAGAATGATATGTACAGCAGTATATATACACTAAGCATGATATGTACAGAAGTAGATATACTAAGAATTATATGTACAGCAGTATATATACTAATAATGGTATGTACAGCAGTAGATATACTAAGAATGATATGTACAGCAGTAGATATACTAAGAATGATATGTACAGTAGTATATATACTAAGAATGATATGTACAGAAGTAGATATACTAAGAATGGTATGTACAGCAGTAGATATACTAAGCATTATATGTACAGCAGTAGATATACTAAGAATGATATGTACAGCAGTAGATATACTAAGAATGGTATGTATCAAATCAAATCAAATCAAATTTTATTGGTCACATGCGCCGAATACAACCGGTGCAGACATTACAGTGAAATGCTTACTTACAGCCCTTAACCAACAGTGCATTTATTTTAAACAAAAAAAGTAAGAATAAAACAACAACAAAAAAAGTGTTGAGAAAAAAAGAGCAGAAGTAAAATAAAGTGACAGTAGGGAGGCTATATATACAGGGGGGTACCGTTGCAGAGTCAATGTGCGGGGGCACCGGCTAGTTGAGGTAGTTGAGGTAATATGTACATGTGGGTAGAGTTAAAGTGACTATGCATAAATACTTAACAGAGTAGCAGCAGCGTAAAAAGGATGGGGTGTGGGGGCAGTGCAAATAGTCCGGGTAGCCATGATTAGCTGTTCAGGAGTCTTATGGCTTGGGGGTAGAAGCTGTTGAGAAGTCTTTTGGACCTAGACTTGGCACTCCGGTACCGCTTGCCGTGCGGTAGCAGAGAGAACAGTCTATGACTAGGGTGGCTGGAGTCTTTGACAATTTTGAGGGCCTTCCTCTGACACCGCCTGGTATAGAGGTCCTGGATGGACCTCTATACCAGTAGATATACTAAGCATTATATGTACAGCAGTAGATATACTAAGAATGATATGTACAGCAGTAGATATACTAAGAATGATATGTACAGCAGTATATATACACTAATAATGATATGTACAGAAGTAGATATACTAAGAATGATATGTACAGTAGTAGATATACTAAGAATGATATGTACAGAAGTAGATATACTAAGAATGGTATGTACAGCAGTAGATATACTAAGCATTATATGTACAGCAGTAGATATACTAAGAATGATATGTACAGCAGTAGATATACTAAGAATGGTATGTACAGCAGTATATATACTAAGAATGATATGTACAGCAGTAGATATGTTAGTGAGCTATGTCAAGAATCCAGTGTATAAATCGAGTTTTGAATTTCTGGTTGAATTTCTGGTGAGTGACTGCCGATTTTAATATCCCAAAGTAATTTTCTGCTGTAGGTAATAATACTAGAAACGTTATGAGCAAATCATGTAAGAAATAACACAACAACAAAATAAATGTGTAGAGGTGGCTAGGAACCTGAAACAGGACGACCATGTCCGTCGGTGCCATCTTGCACATCAAACCCAAAATTCTGTGACATTTTTTGAGGCTAAACCTTGTGCTTGAAACGTTTAATCACAAGACTGTAGCCTGTATATGCATTTCGTTCACTGACACTCTGGACTCTGAAATAGGAGAATGAAGACAAGATGGATGTTTGAGGCAAAGCTGTTGACTCCTTTATAAACTGTAGGTAGTGGGCAGCAGTCTGTGACGGGGGTTGAGAGTGCAGACGATGCCAACAGTTACTGGAGGATTCGGGGGAAGCCCAACGGGACCTGCCAACGCGGTGTGCCCATCCAGTGTGGGCAGGCCATCCGCATCACGCACATGACCACGGGACGCAACCTGCACACACACCACTTCAGCTCGCCGCTGTCCAACAACCAGGTAAGAGAGGCAGTGGGCATACACACACAATTTTCTGTCCCACAACCAGGTAACACACACACACACACCACTCTCCTTCAATGCTGTCCATCAACCTGACATTGTCCCATTCCCTCTCTCCAGGAGGTGAGTGCGTTCGGTGAGAACGGCGAGGGGGATGACCTGGACGTGTGGAGGGTGCAGTGTGACGGCTCCATCTGGGAGCGGGACAAGATGGTGCGCTTCAAACACGTTGGCACCGACGCCTTCCTGAGTGTGACGGGCGAGCAGTACGGCAACCCCATCCGCGGGCAGAGGGAGGTGCACGGCATGGGCACTGCCAACCACAACAACTACTGGAAGGCTATGGAGGGCGTCTTCATTCAGCCAAGCCAGGAACCGCTGAGACACCCTCATGAAGAGCTCTGATGACATCATCAAGCTGCTGCGTCACGATGAGCTCTGACATCATGACAAGCTCTGATGACATCACAATGAGCTCTGATGACCTCATCAGACATCATCACATAATGTGCACCTAGGCTACGTCTGAAATGGAACCCTGTTCCCTATTATATAATATATACCCACATGACTCTGATCAAAGGTAGTGCACTAAACAGGGAATAGGGGGTCATTTCAGACGCGGTCCTAGTCGACTGCAGGATGACACTGATGCAGCTGACTGGGTCAAGATGACTCCTATTACTTTGTAATTACATTTTTTGTATACCCATTACCCAACCAGCACCAACGTTGATGACTATTGACTACTGAATATAGGCTTACATTAGGAGCATCAGGCTCTGTGCAGTCAGTCTCTGGTGACGTGATCAGACAGGGAGATGAGAGGTTTGTCTGACGATGAGAATCAGTTGACGTTTAGAATTTGACATCTCTGAACAAAATGGAAGTGAAGAATTTTTGTCTTTGATTAGTTTGAGGGAGAATGTTGTCAGGCAGCTGCCCTGCTTGAGTCTGATATCAGAGGTATTAGCACCTGCCTCCAGGGGAACATCTAAGGGAAACACTGCCATTTCCAGGTGAATCTACTGTACCTGTCTACTCCTTAGCGACAGACTGCACACATCCTGATGCTAATAAAAACAAGACAAACCTTGTCCGGATGTTTCACTTCCAAAGTCTACGCCTCTAGCTGCTGTGCCTTTTACCTATAATAATGATGTCACATTTAGACACCACGTAGTGTGCTGTAAGGCCTTTCCCCTGGAACATGACTCACCTTATTGCTCCTGCGCTTTTGGGAGTGTTTTCCTATTGTGTTCAGACTTCTTTTATGTTTGTATGTCAGGAAGGGATATCGTTTAATTGTATAAGGGAAGAAAACATCGTATAAGATGATTTAAGTTATTTGAAACAAAACCTTTTTTTTTGGCCTCCATCTGCAGTTTTTTACTGCGGGACATCGGGGAGGATAATGTTATACTAAAATCATATAGAACCTCAACTCCATATGTTATGATGAAACACCTTAGATTGGGTTAGTTGCTCTTTCAGTGATAAATCACATCCATAATGTGTTTCTGTGCCTGTGTCCAAGGGAATATTCTCTAGTTGTGCCAAGCAATAATACAATGCATGTCTGTAGGCTACTGCATACGTCCACAATCCAAATAAACGAGTTATTAGACAGAACAAACTCTAATGACACAGAGAAGTCGTGTACTCTTACCCAGTTTATTTATCTCACGCAATAACAGGGTAGAGACTAGAACTTCAGGCTGGAAAATGGTCTCAGACAGAAAGATAGAAAGCATAAAACAGGACTCATATTAGCAATATTACGAAGGTTCTTCTTAGAGTGAGAATCTGACAGGGGATCAGTGCAGTGGAGCTGCCAGTAGTTGACTCATAGAGTTAAATAGAGGACTCTGGATGGATATTAGCCGTTTTAGACTCAAAGATGAGTATCTAACTCTATGTATCAATCTTGTATCAGCAGTAGTTTTCAGTTTCCACTAGTTACCACAGCCACAAAGTCAAAATTGTCAATATTGTAAAGATTCATGAAAACAAACATTTACTTTTTGGTCTTAATTTTTTTATTTAACTAGGCAAGTCAGTTAAGAACAAATTCTTATTTACAATGACGGCCTACACCGGCCAAACTCGGACCGGTTGTGCGCCGCCCTATGTGACTCCCAATCACGGCCGGTTGCGATACAGCCTGGAATCGAACCAGGGAGTCTGTAGTGACGCCTCAAGCACTGAGATGCAGTGCCTTAGACCGCTGCGCCACTCGGGAGTTGACTACAGATCGGAATTCTAGTTCTATTTGACCTCCCAATCAGAGCAGGCCCCACCTAAAATGGCTGACAAACTGTTCCATTCGGATGTATAGAGGCTCTATGACACTGGCCTATCTAGGGTTCTTCTATGACTTTGGTTGACTCTGCTGCCTCCATGCACAGGGCTGATCCTGGATCAGTGTGGAGGGGGTGGTGGGCGGATGGCTGCAGAGCTCCTGTTTGCTGCACTGAGCGACTGATAGGTGGCGCTACTAGCTTCCTCTGGGGTTCTCTCTGGTAGCTGTGGTGCCTGGGTCGGCTGTAACATTATCATAGGTATCAGCAGCTCCAGCTCCAGCGCCTGGCGGAAGAGTCACGTCAATGGGATTCCCCCGAGGTTGGGATGAGGGCTGGGAAAACCTCTTCCTGAAGCAGAGAGAGAGTGCTGTGGTCGTGATGGAGCAGATGACGCAGGTTCCAACGCTGGAGTTGTCGTGTCACACAAACGCTCCTACCCGACTAGGGGATGGGGCTGTGACTGCAGGAGTAGGAGATGGGGCTGTGACTGCAGGAGTAGGGGATGGGGCTGTGACTGCAGGAGTAGGGGATGGGGCTGTGACTGCAGGAGTAGGGCATGGGGCTGTGACTGCAGGAGTAGGGGATGGGGCTGTGACTGCAGGAGTAGGGGATGGGGCTGTGACTGCAGGAGTAGGGCATGGGGCTGTGACTGCAGGAGTAGGGCATGGGGCTGTGACTGCAGGAGTAGGGGATGGGGCTGTGACTGCAGGAGTAGGGCATGGGGCTGTGACTGCAGGAGTAGGGCATGGGGCTGTGACTGCAGGAGTAGGGGATGGGGCTGTGACTGCAGGAGTAGGAGTAGGGAATGGGGACAGCCACACTCTTCTCCACGATGCTCCTCCAGCCCCCTGCCGGATTGAGTGTCCACTGCCTCAACGTGCACACATACACCCCACCCTCATCAGCTGCCATCACCCTGGAAACCACCAATCTAAACACTCAGTTTTCACGCGGGATCAATCGCAACCCCCCCCCTGTCCGTGAAGCGCTGGGCTAAGCGCTCGGTCACGTATACTCCCCAGTCCGGTCCAAAGGTGAAGATCTCCCCCAATGGGGCATCTTCTCTCCTCAGCGCCCAGGTGATTGACAGGACAGTGGAGGCGGGTCACGTGTTGGATCACGTCACCACCCTCGGGGACTACGGACTGAAGGTTCTCGTCGGTGCTGCTGTCTGACTTTATTCTTTATTCTGATGTCAACGATGTTAACACGGTCTGAGGGTTCTCGTCGGTGCTGCTGTCAGACTTTATTCTTTATTCTGATGTCAACGATGTTAACACGGTCTGAGGGTTCTCGTCGGTGCTGCTGTCTGACTTTATTCTTTATTCTGATGTCAACGATGTTAACACGGACTGAGGGTTCTCGTCGGTGCTGCTGTCTGACTTTATTCTTTATTCTGATGTCAACGATGTTAACACGGTCTTGAAGTGACGCTTCTGGGTATCTGGGGTCCAAAGTGGAAATGACCTGGATAGGTTGAGCCTTCCCTTTCTGCATGGGTCAATGAGAATCCTGCTCTCTGTGACAACACAGCGTATCGACATGGGTTGTCCCTCCACACGGATCAGAGGACCAGGAGAGATAGAGGCCGCCTTGCCACAGCGTAGACCTGGAGAACACACACGCAAAGAGAGAGTTCACAATGTACAGTATGTTGAGGTGGAGCTATGATAAATAGATAAACACAGAGAAATTCATTTATGAATGCAAGGCTGAGGTGGAAAATTGAAATACTCTGTGTGTGTGTGGGGTGGTGGGGGGGCTAAATGCTCCCTCTTTTATCGTCCTGGGCTAAATGCTCCCTCTCTTATCGTCCTGGGCTAAATGCTGGGCTAAATGCTGGGCTAAATGCTAGGCTATGTCTATAGCTCACTTTACTTATTGTTACCTCTCTCTTACACACTCTCTCTGATTACAGGAAGTGATTACACTGACATACTTCAAAGAGGCACTCCAGCTATTTATTTTACTTTTCCTGTTGAAAAACAATATCCCATGTTTAAATACAGTAATGTACACACACTTAAGGCACTTTAAGACCTTACTTAATAAAAGGCACATCGGTGTGAAAAATGTATGCACTCACTAACTGTAAGTCGCTCTGGATAAGAGCGTCTGCTAAAATGACTAAAAATTTAAAATGTAAATCTCAACAGGTGGTCCAGGTAAGTCATGACATAGCATGGGGGGGGTACTTTACTGTATTGATTTCTTGGGATATCGCTTTCATCAGTAAAAGTTGACGTCTTTAAATATTTTTCTACCCCTCAATATCCTCATTTCATATCATAAACCCTGCCCATAAGGATGAAAACCATGCACGCGCGCACACACACACACACACACACACACACACACACACACACACACACACACACACACACACACACACACACACACACACACACACACACACACACACACACACACACACACACACACACACACACACATACACATACACACACACACACACACACACACACACACACACTGCAGTTCAGTGTTTAGATTTGGGGTGGCATATGATACCATATCTGGGTTAACTGGTAACCTTTCATTTACATTTGACATTTTAGTCATTTAGCTCTTAGCCAGAGCGACTTACAGTTAGAGCGTTTATCATAAGAGAGCTAGGTGAGACAGCAACCCATTACAATCTTATTAAGTACATTTTCCCTCAACAAAGTATTCATCAGCAAAGTCAGCACGGTTAGGAATAGACAAGTGCCATTTGGGGGGAGGGGGGTGCATTGGGGGCACCATAAGAGTTATTTAAGATACTCTTCAAAGAGGCCAAGTTTGTGAAACCATGAGCGATAACATAAGGATCCCTTCTTCATGTCCTCATTACATGTAGTCCAACAAGGCTCTGTAAAGTTCTCTACTTTTGATAGATTTAAAGAAACAATATTGGAATCACCATGGTCACAACCATAAACTGTCAGCTGAATCTGTGTGATAGATTAAAATAGAATATTAATTTTGGTACAAATATGTTACATTAAATATTATCAATAGCCAAGATACCCTGCTTTTGCAGATGGGGGCTACCGTTCTCACACCAGACTGAATTGAATAAAAAAAATGCCTTCAAACCTTTGGTGTGACTTACTACCATATATGGGCATACACATTTAAAAGGGCAGGCCGAGCCGATGACCTCTACCTACATTCCAGTTAGCGTTTTTTTAGTTTAACTAGGCAAGTCAGTTAAGAACAAATTCTTATTTACAATGACGGCTTACACCGGCCAAACCCGGACGACGCTGGGCCAATTGTGCGCCGCCCTATGGGACTCCCAATCACGGCCGGATTGTGATACAGCCTGGAATCAAACCAGGGTCTGTAGTGACGCCTCAAGCACTGAGATGTAGTGCCTTAGACCGCTGCGCCACTCGGGAGCAGATTTGTTGTGAATCGTTGTGAAGCATAAAATAAATAAACACAGAATAGGTTGATACACACCGAAAGCCGGGACTCCACAGATCATGAGGATGTCCTATTTGTCTGCCTGTGTCCTACCGTTATGGACCACCAGCCCCGAGAATCAAAATGTTTATTTTACACAACGTTTTCAACAAACAGCAAACATCTTACAAGGTAAGCTTCGATTTGGTCTGTTTGAGTTATAGCTACACGGGGGTATCAAATTAATCCTTAGGTTGGTAGGAACACATCTAGCCTATTGCCAATGTTATGTGATGATGTATGACTTAATGGCAACATCGAATGTCCACCGAGTGACTATATTTTTGCGCATCAAAAATATGATGTTTCCTGCTTACGCGCTGTAGGCATCCATTACACAGGGGATTGGCTACTATGGCACCTTGACAGTCTTGTAGCCAATGAGATAAGCTTTCCAGGGATATGCAGTTGACTTGGGTGGGACAAAGCACCTTTTATGCGCAATGCGAAATATTGCTACCTGGCTCAGAGACGAGACGCACTGAGCAGACGAGACGCACTGAGCACGCTCCATTACACTGGAAACAGATGTCATCGCTTTCATTTCATCGCTTTAGCATAAAAGATGGCTTCTCAATTTTAAAAAAAGGGAAAAACTAAGAATATTGACCAGGAACCTAAAAAGAAGGTAGCTATGAATAATTATAATAATTATAATAATTATATCGACATAGAAGCGTTGACTAAAATACTGGAGTCGGACTCGGATCAGGGAAACGATTTGGACAAGGAAGGATTGGATCCACCTTCAGATCCGTAAGTAAATTATTTTCATGACTTTATATAGCTAATTTACTATATGTATTTCGTTTTTTTTATAAGTTGTCTGCTTTTTGTGCTTTGGATTTAGTTTACATAG